TCTGTGTGATAACTATAATGGTAGACACGTGTCATTATACATGTGTCAAAACCCATAGAATGTACAATACCAAGAGTGATCTCTAGTGTAAACTGTGGGCTTTGGGTGATGATGATGTGACAATGAGGATTCACAGATTGTAACTAACATACCACATTGGTGTGGGAGGTTTATAGTGGTGAAGGCTGTGCATGTGTGCACACGGGGAAGTATATGGGAACTCTGAACTTTCCACTCAATTTTGCTGTGTACTTATAACTACTCAATAAAAGTCAATTTAAAAAAAAAAAAACTAATATATTAAAAAAGTGATGTTTGTAAATGTTGAATGGGATTACTGATATAATGTGATTATTCCACAAGTTGACTCAGCACTTACCCAAATATCTAATGTGCCATACACTTTCAAGTCTCAGAACCTTAAATCAAACATTCATCTAGCCTGTAGGCTCTTCCCTCCCTACCACCCACTCTCCACTTACTAAAATTCCAACTGTTCTAACACTTCAAGATCCAGCTCAATATGTCACCAAGTTCACGAAGCTTTCCCTGATCCCTCATCTTAATTTTGGGTATCTTCTTATACCTCTCTGTACCATGTAATATCATTCTGTTTGGCTCATGCTATTGAAAGAAAACTTTTAATTAAATGTGACGTTTAAAGACTCAAAGATTATATCTAAAAATCCAGATTTCTTACTACTCTTAAAAACAACAACATGACACTGTTACCAGATGGGAATAGGGCAGCAGGTACTGCACTAGACATCCCTCTCTTTGTGGCCTCCCCAACAGTGAGGCAGAGCTGTCGCCATTTATTATTGTCCCTGTGTTGCTTTTCTTACTCCCTCCTGCCTTACTCACTCAAAGTGCCTGCTGACTTCAGTCTCCATTTGAGGTTGTAATCCCTGTTTAGTTATTTATACAAGGGTACTTCAAAAAAGTTTGCAGAAAAATTGAATTAAAAGATGATACGAATCCTTTCATGAACTGTTTGAAGTACTCTTATATGTCCCTCACACGTTCCAAATTGTAAGTTTCTTGAGAGCAAGAACTTGTTTCTCATTCATCTTTATTCCTCCTGTACTCTCCCATCCAACCACAGTATATATGAGGGTATTTCAAAAAGTTCGTGCAAAATTAGAACTAAAATATCATATGAATCTTTCCACGAATGTTTTGAAGTACTCTTGTATTCATCAAATATTTTCTGAATTTAATAAATTATTAATCAACAAAATAGAAAAAATGTTAACAATTCATTATGAATGTTGCTCCCTACGCTTTAGCAGCTGGTAGCAACGCTTCTTTACTATGTTTAACTTCACTTAAAAACAACGATATCCTTTTTTACGTCTAAGTCACAATTAGGCTCTTTTTGAAGGTAGAACGAGAGGCTGAAATGCAGAAATGGAAGAAAGAGATCATGACTTGAAGGTCTACTATGTGCCAGGCACTGGTACTAGACTAAATAATTAAATGAAGGAAGGGCAAATATACCAGTTAGTAGTGCTCAGCACATCCCTAGGGATAAAAGAGGTGGATGGGAAGAAACCTGTGTTGAACCAGGTAGGACTAGCATTCCAGAACAGCCAGTGGGATTCTGCTTCAAGCAGTATAAAGTTGCCAGGTGAGGGAGTGTTTACTTTGCATAAACTTTGCGAACACTTAACAACATTTTTAGTAGTGAAGTGAGGCCACCTGAAGAGTCTTTACTGGAGGCCCTGACTTAATTACACCTGCAGTGAGAAAGTCTCACTAGATTCCTAAGGAAAACAGATCATAAAGAAATGTGTCATATAATCCCTGCTAGCAAAACAAAATAAGAAAAATTTGAAATCAGAAACAGTAGATTTCATTTAAGAGTGTAATCAGCTTTAATTAAGGAAAAAACATAAAGCAAATAATTTGGCCTAACAGTATTCTATTGCTTGAGATGCCGTACTGTAAAACTTTTTCAATTAAATTTTTTATTTAAGATAATTTAGATTCACATGTAGTTGAAAGATATAACACTGAAAGATCTCTTGTACCATTTACCCAGTTTCCCCTAATGGCAACATCTTGCAAACAAGGATATTGATATTGATACAGTCCAGATACAGAACAATGATCCCCACAAAAATCCCTCACGTCGCTATTTTATAATCATATCCGATTCCCTCCTGCTCCCCTGCCCACTTCTTTAACCTTTGGCAACCACTCGTCTGTTCTCCATTTTTATAATTTTTCGTTTTAATAATGTTATGTAAATGAATCATACAATATGTAACTTTTGGGATTGGCTATTTTTACCCAGGATAATTCTCTGGAGATTCATCCTGCTGAAAAATCTTTTAATTAATGCCAATCATGGAACAAAACTAAAACTCAGTAAAGAAAACAAAGACCTGGGGTTCTCTGATGAGTCATATGAAAGCGGAGGACACAAGAAAGATTAAATTTCACTGTGCTCTATTATCTATAAGTGACAGGTTTTTCTGATGTGTTTTCCTGCCACTATGAAGACATAAGGACATTCTCATTGTCAAATTGTCTTACTTCCAAGACTGTTTTATACATTGGAATTATAAACTTTTATGCTTGTGTGGCCATCAAGGTTTGTGAAGCTTATCTCAGAAAACATGGCTAGTTAAGTAAGTTCAAAAATCATCCTTATTTATATTAATCATATGTATAAGAATTTACAGTGAACTTGTGGAGTTCTCCCACCTAGAACTAAGTTTTTGCTTTCACACTACAAAAAAAAAAAAAAAAAAAGATTTCAGTGGAATTGCTGTCATTTGAAAAAGCAGCCCTCATGATGTGTTTTAACCACTGCAGTGAAGACACAAGAAAATCTGTCAGCTCCAATATCTAAAAAACCACAGTGATTTGTTCTCAAACTTTTCCTTTAACGCATTTAGGATGTCACTCATAACCACTTTTAATATGTGCCAAATTCAGCAATAAAATCTCATTACTAAAAAAATTATTTAAAAAGAAAAAGCAAAATCCTAACCAGATGACTGACTAACTTTCTACTCTTCATCATTTTTTAAAATAGTAATCGAATAAGTTCATCTCACATTAGCAAGCCTGTAACACAAAGAACAAGCTACATACAATGAAAGAGTTTACAACCTGTTGCGTGTTTATAAAACACAAGCCTAAAATCTATCCCTCTTTTAACCAGAACTACAGTACTCTGTACTTGTGACACAATTTCTTAAGCATGTTAAAACTGGTTAATCACCAGACATATGATTACTAGATGAAGCACATACTCTATTAATTTTCTAACTTAGATGTTTAAAAGAAAAAAGAAAAAGAAAACTTCCCAAGCAGATCCTTCAAATGTTTGTTTAGGCTAGTAAACTACAGAGAAAAGTAACAGGATGTTATTTTAAACATTTTAATAATTACCCGCAGGGCCGAGCCCGTGGCGCACTCGGGAGAGTGCAGCGCTGCGAGCGCAGTAGCGCTCCTGCCACGGGTTCGGATCCTATATAGGAATGACCCGTGCGCTCACAGCGCTCACTGGCTGAGCGCGGTGCGGCCGGTCTCAAAAATGACAAAAAAAAAAAAAAAAAAAAATTACCAGCAGAGTGAAAAAATAAATAGCATGCAAACTTCTACTTTCTTAATAACCTCACTATGTATACATATAAATGTGTATACATGCATACACACACACACACCCCATTAGGACCAACTTCTTTTTTTTTTTTTTCCTTTTTGTCTTTTTTCGTGACCGGCAACGGATCGCAACCCTCCGTGTTGCTCCCGCACCTCGCTCAGCCAGTGAGCAGCCGGTCTGTATGTGGGATCCGAACCCTCGGCGGGAGCCCCGCCGCGCTTCCAAGTGGCGCACTGTAGCAGTGCGCCACCGGGCCGGCCCAGGACCAACTTCTTTAAGACAACCTTAAACTACCATCATTTTCCTGCTTGAGAAGGGCCCTAAAGATAATGCCAGTGGTTCCATATAGACACTGGAAGTTAACCAGTATAATAGTCCATGCTCCTTACTCCCTGGTAGCTGACTAATACAGGTCTGTCTCTCCTGTCCAAGAGAAAACTCCTAGAGGGCAGGGATCTATGTCTCATTCATCTTTGTATGGCCCACAGCGCTAGGATCTGCAAATTGTTCTGCACAAGGAGGGCACTAAACAAGAAATGTCGAATGTTAAGAAAAAAAAGATGTACTTAGAAGAGATCTATAGAATTCCAGAATGCAATGTGCAAATTTTCTAACTTCTAAATCTCCCAAAGAGGGCAGAGAATATAAAAGCTTAGTGGCACTATGTGTCGAAAAACTTATGCATGACCTCTAATTGATCTATGACTCAATTTTCTCATCTGAACAATGAGGATAAGACACCTGATTCGTAGGGTTCTTAAAGGATTACACAAGTTAGTATAGTAAAGTCTCCTTAGATCAATGACTCGAGCACTGTACACACTACTGAAGAGTTAGCTACTCATATTACTGAAAAAGACTCTTATAAGAAAAGGCCACGCAGCCCTGCAAAAAGCGCTTAAAAGAAATTAGCCTAGGAGAGATAAGATCAAGGGTTAGCAAACTTTTTCTGTAAAGGGCCAGATACTACCATAAACATTTAAGGCTTTGCAGGCCAAGACGCAATATTCTCAACCCTCGGAGCAATTATTTTCCTGAAAAGCTAATAGGTTTCTTGCTTGTTCACATTTTACATTTTAAAATTTAAGAACCACTCTTAGTTCGAGGACTCACATAAAAACAGGCTAGATTTGTCTCCTGGCCTCTCGTTTGCCAACCCCTCGCTAAGATGATAACACAGTCAGTGCTTTTTAAAGGCAACATAAAGAAAGGTGGTGAGTTAACCAAAGTTCACTGAAAAACGTGCTGCCCCAAACTTCTAAAATTAAGACAGGGAGAGCCTGTGGTGAAGAGTCGGGACAGGCACAGGAGTAGGGCCTCAGGAACCAGCAAGGACCTCGCACGGCTCTCCGGGTCCTACCATGCCCCCTTCCACACTTACTCTCAGCAGCGGCCCGCGGCCGATCACCGTCTCCCCGGGCGTCAGGGCCACCGGGGGGCCGCCGTCCTGCGGCTGCAACTCGAAGCCCCCGGACATGGCAGGCGAAAACTAGACCCCTTCGCAAAAAGACAGCCCCTGCAGCCGTTTCCGCCTTCCACAGACACGCGCGGGGCATGGCCGGGCCCCGAGAAAAACATGGGGGTGGGGAGTAAAGCGTCCACTCTGGGGTACGCAGGCCTCGGGGGCAGGGGCCCCAGCGCCGCTTCGGGAGCCCCGCCCCACCACCCGGACCAGTGACGCACTCGGGGATTCCCCTAACGCGCCGCCTCAAAATTATTGTTTAAAAGCCCCTGCTCATCCTCCCCCCCCCACCTCGTCTGACCGCCCACCCGTCTCGGAGGACGCCGGATCTTGTAGTCCCTAGCGACTTCCTTCCCGTCCTTTCCCGAGCTGAGGCGCCCTGGAAAAACTACCAATCCCAAACGGCAGTGCGCACTCCTCTCTGCGCCTGTGCGAGTCGGCAGGACGTGGAGGACTATGGGGAAGGATTCGAATGCCGGATGGTTTAAATCGTGGGAGGCGCAGCTACCGCTGCCAGTAGGTAGGAGGGTCTTCCCTTCCTTATAACGTTGGCGCTGGCACGCTGGGGCGCAAGCACAGCCTTCCCTCAGCGGCCTACAGCGACGGTGACAGTCAGTGCTGACGGTGGTTGTTCACCTGTCAGTGCTCCATGTTCTTGGGACTGGAGCAGCTGCAGCCTGCGCGGGGCACACAAGGAGGGTGGCTCAGATGGTACGTGGGGTTGTTACCCCCGGCCTGCGGGGTCCCCAAGAGCTAGTCTGAACCGGGCAGTGCACGACCCTCCGACTGAGCTGCCTCCCGATCCCTCCCTCCGAGTGACAGTTGAAAGGGGGATGAGCTCTTACCTAACCGGAAAGGTAATTCGGGAAAGCTTGGTTCACAAAGGAGAAGGGGCAGAAGAGGGGTCGTTTTCCAGGCATCCAGGCGAAACTAGGCGTAGAAGAAAGATTCCTAGTGGGACTTTAGGAACCTCGCCAAGGCACCCCGACTATTCAACTCAAGTCTTCATTTGCCTCCTGTGTAATGTCTCGGGAAAAATAGTAGCGTTTAAATACACTGTAGCGTTCTCGTAATATGAGATTCTTTTCAAGAACGTGGTGGTTTAGCTTTGGTTTGTATTGATGGTGAAAGAGGCGAAGGTGTGTGGCAAAAACTTGCACTTGAGTCATGCTCTTGTTTACATCAGTTTGCTTTCTTAATTCCCCAAACTCTCAGGAGGAAGTCCTCCGTTGAACACAGACACTGCAATTCTAACCACCACCGCTAATTTGGATCATAAACAACGTAATTAGTGGGAGCCACCGCGGTCTTGGCAAGTCCAGAAATACACAGCTGAGTAACAAAACTAGAAAAGAGAATTGTTATTAGCTAAGTTAAAAAAAAAAAGAAAGTATTTATCTGTATCTCCAACCCCTCCTGCACAACCACCCCCCATTATAAAAGGAAGTGCAAAATGGAATAAACTGATTTTAAGTAAATACAAGTTGTCTTTTATGCAAAAGTAGCTCAATGATGTAATGTACCCAGCCGCATTTTCAACTGGTTTCAGAAGCCTACACCATTCACCTTAGGAAAATTAGCTGAAACTGGGCTTTAAATCTTTAGTCACATGCTATACTTGGCTGAGTTATAAACATGGTTTATACTTGTTACTCACTGTTGGTTGATGGCCTCGGTGACTATTACTCTAAACTCATAATTAACTATGCATGCAAGGACCATTCAAGGGGCCATTTATAAATCACCAATCTATAACTAAATTGAGTATTTGAGACTTCGTATCATAACCGGGATCTCATCCTCTTCTCCGTTTCAGGTGGTATTTGCAAGCACCTACGCATTAGCTACGGCAGATTTATGATTGTCACAAAGTGAAAATGAAGAACTTAATGACAAGGCTTCAGTTACCACAGAACAAGCAACCAAGAGTTTAATAGGATTGACTCAGCACATCTCAAAAGTACTTTCAGTAAGTACTTGAATGTTCTCACAGTAGTCATTGCTACTGCTAAACTCAATAAATATGGTCTGATGTAAATAATCATTTCTTTTTTTACATAATGTTCTTGGGAACAAAAACAAAGTTTAGAAACAAAACCGTTTACTAAAAATGTTTTTAAAAAATGAAACTAATGTGTGTTGAGTGCCTCCCATGTGTAATTCAGATGTGAGGCTAGATGTTTTGCACATTATCCCTGTTAAACCTTGCAAGAACACACAGGAGAGGAGCAGTGTTGGCCCATTTTATTGAGATTGAGAAGCTGAAGTCAAGAAAGTTCTTTAAATCATACCCCAAAATATCTGACTCAGTTGGATTTAGAGACTGATCCAAAGAGGCTGAGTATGTTTAAATTTTGCCTTTTAGGTTACATATGAGGATAATTTATTAAAACATCAAGCTATGCAGAAAAACTCCAAGAGGAACAATAATTCAAGAGTTTCTGACATAGAATTGAATTCTGTGGATGCTGAGAAGGGAAAAAACGAGAGTCAAAACAACTTTGTTGAACTGCTGCCTCCAGAAGTAGCTCTTAAAATTTTCACTCATCTAGACATTCGGAGTTTGTGCAGGGCTTCAGCAACATGCTGGAGCTGGAATTACACAATAAGAAACAGTGACTTTTTATGGAAACCTCACTGCTTGACTGTAAGAGCTGTGTGCCGAAGAGAAATTGATGATGATCTAGAAAGTGGCTATTCCTGGAGGGTAAGTTCAATCTTTGCAGTTTGCAGTTTTTTTGACAGTGCTATGGTAACAAGTTTGAATCAACTCTAACTTCCACTTGGAGGTAGGATTTCATATTCAGAATAACATACAGACTGTGTTGACTTTTGGAAATTAGTTAAAGTTGAGTTATTCTTTTCCTGCCAACCACACTATCTCCCATCCATCCTTTTACATTTTTTAAATCCTATACTCAGAAATTTTTCTCTGTTAACCAGAAGGAAAGTGACTACCTCTTTTCACTCTGCCTTATCCAAAACCTCCAGTAAACTCTGTGGCTCACAATGTATATATACGCATATACGTATACATACACACATACACATTAATTTACTAATATATGTGTATATCAATGTAAATTCTTAACCTTGTTAGCCTAGTCTCTCAGCTTCCCTAGTTTCAAACAAACTCACTAACCAACTCCTTACTACATTTTTTTTTTAGTGATGATGGTTTACCTCTTTCAGGTAATACTACTGAGGAATTACCAGAAGAGTAAAGTGAAACATGAATGGCTAAGTGGCAGATACAGCAACATATGTTCTCCCATTAGCCTACCAGAAAAAATCATGTACCCAATGGATGTGGACACATGGGGGGAAATTCTAGAAGCAGAACTGGAAAGATAAGTGGAAAAATCAAATAGATCTCATAACTTTGAGAGTTTAAAATTAAAATGACTCCTAAGTTGCAGAAGGTGTATCTTTATCTGTCCATTGTTTTTTTGTTCACCTTTTACATATTTAACAGGTAAAAAGTGAAGTAGAAAATATTATAAAAGTAAAGCTTTATTTTATTTGCACTTTAGTAAAAAATATTTTTCTGGTTTAATGTAATGTGGAAAAATCATGAAATGTTATTTTTATAGGAATATAATGATAGAGTGATTTCAAAATGTATTGTTTCATGTATTACTGTTCGTATATCACAGAACTTTAAATGATAGAGTTTGATTGGTATTTTCTGCCTAATGATAATTCAAAAATTCTGAAAGCTACTTGAAGAACCTGACTGAAAGATTCATTAAGTAGTAGACGTAACTAAGCTCATGGGAAGACTAAGTGAAATTAATAGCAGTATGTTTAAATGAATGATAAATTTGCATTTCAAAAACTTTAAAATTTCCACTTCAGTGGAATCATATTGAATTGTCAAATAGTGGAACTATTTGAAATGTGTTAAACCTATGGTTTAGTTTAAAATTAATCTGATTTTAGGGATAAAATTTGTTAGATTAAGATTTCAGTTACTTTCCTGTAAACCTGAATTGCTCTCAGGGGCTGAAGATGTGTGAAGGTTCCAGAACACTTAACTACCCTCAGAACTGCCACACTATTTATCTTGTTAAAACTAACTTTCTGACAGCCTTACAGCACCATCTAGTGTACTATTCATAGATACGAAGGACTTTCAGCTCCTTTTTGTTTTCTCTATATTTAAAAGAAAGAAAAATATTATTCTAGAGAACCCTTAACATTTGACTTTGTTAAAGTTCATAACTTTTCAGGAACCTTTAGTTTAGCTTTTTTTTCTCTTTTTCGTAAAAGCAGATGATATCGTACTCACTATACCAGATTGTTGGTTCTGAATCTGTGGTCAGCACCGTAGTGAAACGTGTCTACAAAGCATTTTAGTTAGTATGAGGTTTTCTTCTTAAAGTGTGCTCTATAACATGAACAATAAGAATACAGGAAAACAGTATTTAACAAATAGGCAAATATCAAAAAGATGCCTCACTGTATACAAATTCCCTTTGTTGGATTAGCAGCTGATAATTGATTATCTCCTATTACTGTCTTCTTAGATTTGGAAGAGGCCTTGAAAATCAGGCACTCCCGTCTCCATGGCTATTCAGTAATTTCCTCTGTAGGAACACTGACAGTCAGCCAGCCCAAGCTCAAATACTTCTAGTCATAAGATCTTCATTAGGTCCTATTGTATTCAAGGCTTGCTCTGATCATTAGAAATTCTTCCTCATTGAACTGAAGTCCACCTATCTGTAACATTTGCCTCCTAGTACTGGTTCTGCCTTCTAGAATTAGACTGATTCAGTTCTTCTCTGTGATTGCCATTCAAATGCTTGAACACTACTAGCCTGTCTTTTCCTGTGTTTTCCCACCAATTCCTTCTCCTAATCATAGATTATAATTTCTAGACCCAGCAGCAGTCTCTTCTGACTGTACCCTCTTAACAAAAGTGTACTTGGAACGTGTCCTACTACTTTTATTTAATAAGAAATGATAAGAAAGCACCTTGAAATTTTGAAAGAATAGGAAAAATTAAAGCTAGAATGCATTTTATTGAAAAGCACCTGGGTATAGTAGCATATGTACATATATATTTTTATCTGTTTTTTTGTGACGGATGTGGATTGTCTTTGTCCAACTCCCTTTCTATCACCTTCATATGTTAATAGAAGTCACCCTAATTAGAAAGAATCCTGCCCTTCTCACTTCTTCCCCATGCTGGTTTTTTACAGCGTGCCTCTGTGTTTAGTCCAGGGATAGGAACATGATCCAGACCACACTTTTTGATAAGCTATAAGGGAGAAGTTCTTTCCTCTTTGGTGATGAAACTGTTCCCTGCCACACAGAGAAAATGGATCCTCAGTAAGAGGATAAAGAGCCAACAGGAGAAACAGTTGCAGAATGAGGCCTGATTGTGTTCAAGACTCTGATTCCAGCCATTCCCCTTCTGCTCACCAAAACTAATTCAAACTGAGTTTCGTCCTTTGAACTAGGAGAAAAGAAACCACCTGATTTGGTTTCTTTGCCTATTTTTCAGGTATGTGTTATTTGTGGTTTACATTAGTATATTAGTTTTTAAGATACTATACTTTGCTTTGTCTTATGTGCTACTAATTTATGTCCTCCTAAAAGAGTTTCTTTCTTCTGACTTCCTCATCAGTCATTCATTTCTCAGTTTGCTAAAATCTGACCATCACTCCACATAATTGAAACTGTTATCCAAAGTACAAGTGACTTAATTGCTATATCCATTGGATACATTTTAGTTATTATATTTAGTTAATATATTTGACACATAAACACTCAGTTCCTCTTGAAACTCTCTCCTACTAGGTTTGGGGCTGTAGTCTTTTAGGTTTTTCTTCTCCTACTCTGACCAGTCTTCTCAGTTTTCCTCAAAGACTCGTTTTCCTTCATATTATTCGTAACATACTGTTGTTCCACAAGGTTCAGACTGTCGTCCTCTTGTCTCTTTATATTGTAAGTATCCTAGGTGATCCTATCTACTCCCCAGTGTCAGCTACCACTTTTGGTAGTGATGATGTCCGGGTCCATGTCTCAAGATCAGATCTCCCCATTACTCTCCAGAATCACATATGCCACTGTCTGTTGGACTCTTAGCTAAATCACAAGTACCAGTTCTTTCACAAAACAAGTTCTTCCTCCAGTACCTAAGTGAATGACCAGTGCTGCTACTTTTCTTCATCATTCTCCATATCCAGTCAAGCGTCAATTCTTACCACTTTTATCATCCAAATATCTGAGTAATTCAGCCCTTCTCCATCTTTGTCTCTGCTTCATTACTTCATTCTGGTCCTTACTCGAAATTGGAATTACCACAATAACCTCTTAACTGGTATTCCTGCCTCTAGTTCCTTCTTCTTATCGTCATCAGTATAATCTTTCTAAAACTCAAAAATTATCATGTCACTCCTAACTTAAACACCTCACTACATTCAGCTAAAGATCAAAATTCCCTAGCAAAGCCTGTAAAGCCTTTAATAATCTGGTCTGGTCTGTCTCTTTAACCTCTTCTCTCATACTGTTCCATCCTATAACTTTCAGTTCAGTCATACCAAACTATTTGTAGTTCCTTGAACATGAAAACTCTCTCACTTCTCTGCCTTTGCATAGGTTGTTTGATATACCTGGAATGCTCAAGAAAAGAACTTTTCTTGGCAAAATCTTTTGTAAAACTCATCATCTTGGCCTGGAAACCATCCTTAACTACTGCCGTTCTGGATTAAGTGATCCTCTTAAGTTTCTTGTAGTTCTTTGTACATACCTCTCTCAAATCTGTCATACTACATTAAACTGTCTTCTTTATTTTCCTGTCTGCCCCTTTAGACTGTGAACTTCTTAGTGACGGGGACCATTTCTTATTTATTTTTGTGTTCCCAAAACCTGGCACATAGTAGATCTTCATGAATATTTGTTTAATTATTTCTGTAGTTATTTATTTTAATCCTACACAGAATGTATAGTAAAAATAATTTACTATATTGTTAGTGAATAAGGTTTTATTGAAATGCAATGTACAATCCTTAAGATATATGGTATGCTTGACATTAATGCTATGTATGAATAATTGTTCTAGTCTTCTCCAAAGTTTTAAAGGGAAAATAGGAAAGTAGAAACATTTTGTTTTATCTTTTTCAATAAACACTTGAAAATAAACTTAACCTGAAAAATATCACTTATTTTAAATTATTGGATCACTGTATTGAGTTTTAAGTGTTACCTTTGCAAGTTATATGAGTAAATTTTAGTTTGATTTCTTAGTACTGTTGCATTAAAATAATTCTTTCTATAATAAGTTATAAGCTATAATCAGTCTATACTAAAAGGAAAGCTTTGGAGCTTTATGATTAATTGTATGGTATAGGCTTAGAATGAACTTTGCATTAATCAGACCAAGTCATTAACATCTGAGAACATGAGTGGGTGAAGCAGAGAAGGAAGGAGTGCTCTAACTCACAGATGAAGTAACGTGTTAAATATGCACAGTGTGTAAAAGAAGCAAGATTATTGGGAAAGAGTATTAAGGAACTTCCAGTGTTTTAAAATTTTCGATCAGTTTAAGATCTAGTGTTTTTTAAAGAATAAATTTAGAAACCATTTTTTACTTGTTTCTAGTTTATAACCCAATCTTAGACCAGAACATAATCACTAATAAATTGAAATGAATATAAACTTTAGAACCTAGGATACTTGCATATATACAAGCATAATTTGAAAAATATAACATACCCCAACCACTTTAATTTCGTCTTTGCTTTGACTTTATATAATTTCTTCTCTCTAAGACTTCAAATGCCCTACTAATATCAGCAAAAATAAAGTGAGTGGTAACATCAGGAAATGGATTGGGGAGAAGAATACATAAGATGGAAGATCACACATTTTTAGTTAAAGTAGAGTTGAAAAAGCAAAACATCAAATGGATGAAATTAGATCAACAGTGGACAAAGTCGGTTCATTATAATAGCCAACATTCACTGAGTGCCTGCTCTGCACCAAGCTTTGTGCTTATGTGGTGAGTGCTCTTACTCTATCTTCATTTATGGGTAAGGAAACTGAAAGAGAGTGATCTTGTCAATCTAGTTCAGCACCACTTCCCAACACCTATAGTAAATGTATGCACAGTAAATGTTTATTGAATGAGTAAAAAAAACTTAAAATGAATAACTCAGATGGAAGAGCCAAGAATGTTCCTTCAAGTTTTTATTTTGAAAAATTTCAAAGTCACAGAAAAGTAAAAATACATGAAAAACAACTCCTATGTACACCATACACCTAGATATACCACTTGTTAACATGTTTCTACATTTGCTTTATTTATTTTTTATTTTTGCTGAATCACTTGAAAATAAGTTGTAGACATGATGGTACTTCATTCCTAAATAGCATGTATTTCCTAAAAGTACACTCTCTTGTATGCAAAATCATTATCATATCTAAAATATTTTATGTTAATTCAATATCTAATTTATAATACATATTTAAATTCATCAAGGGCCGGCCCCGTGGCGCACTTGGGAGAGCAGTGGCGCTCCCGCCGCAGGTTCGGATCCTATATAGGGATGGCCAGTGCGCTCACTGGTTGAGCGTGGTGCAGGCGACACCAAGCCAAGGGTTGCAATCCCCTTACTGGTCACAAAAAAAAAGACAAAAAAAAAAAAAATTCATCAATAGCTCACAAAATATCTTTCATAGATTTTTTTTTTACTTCAGGATCCATACAGGGGTTACATATGCTTCT